GGTGGGGAGATCAGTGAATACTTTGTCAGATGTGTTAGCTAAGCAAGGGGTAAATAGGGAAGAATTGTTTTGGGCTCAGTTGTGATTCTTGCTTTTCTTTCCTAGTTTACTTGTAAGATTCAAGGAGGGACTGCAGCTCGCGCCTCTCCCTGGGATGTTGTATGAACTCATTCTAAATCTGCTTCTGAATTAATAAATTTATTATCATTCATAAAAAGAAAACAATTGTGAGAGCTTACAGATGTAATACAGTTGCTTCAAGCAGGGAGGGAGGCCAGAAGATGAAAAATACAAGCTCATAGCTCTGATGCTGGTTGTAGATTTATGAAATAAAACTTGAAAGCCATGTTATAATAATTTGGATGTCAAGATTTAATAGGTTTTTCATTTTAAATCTAGTGGTTGCAAACCTGTAAATTTGCTACCGTGGTCTGTAATCACTTGAAGCCTTTGTTTAGAAACTTTAACAACCTCCAGTTGATATCAGATCTTCACTAGGGAAGTACTTTATTTTTGTCACCTATTTTGTGGGGTTATGTAGAGACGAATGTAAGCAATGATTTAAGTGGAAAAGTAATCATGACTTCTTGCTAGCTATTCAAGACATTTGAGACATATTGGTAATCCTTTTACTATAGAGTAGCATATTTGATTACAACAAGGAATGAACTTAGAGATTTTCTAATTGATTTTGGTGATCAGTGGGTAGGGATTTCTCTGTAGACTTGGTGATTATAAGGGAGTAATCCATTTGTTAGTCACCAATGGGCAGCCAATTTACAACATTACACCCCCATCAACAGAGAATATCTCAATCCAAATTCTTGAATTGTGTCTCAGAATTTCTTCATTTCCCGCAATGAGACTATTTCTTTTAAAATTTAAGTTTTGCATTTTTAAGTAATATCATTTGCGATTTTTTACTTTATTATTATTATTATTATTATTTAAATTTGTGCCTTGCTTCAGAAAGGCACTCGCCTTAACTTGTGCCTTGGGTGCAAAAAACCCCTCATGCTTTTCTTGCACCTTGCACTTTTAAAACACTGGTTGAAATATATTCTAGTAACACTTCATGTTGGAACCTATGGAAACGGAAATACTCATTGATGAATTAGTGAATATGTTGATATTTTAAATCATGTATTTGAGCCCCCAAAGGTCCCTGGACCAATCTTTGATAAAGGTGCATCTAAAGGGTTGAAAGTGTACGAGTCTAAAAAGACGAAACAGAGGCAATCTCATTACAAGGCCCACACCCAATCCTAACCTCAATTCTGTATCCAGGTTCATACCAGAGCCTAAGCCTGTAATGAAGCCCATGCCAAAATCAGGTTCTCATCCAGGCCAACGCTCAAGCAGACATCCAAATCTATACCCATGTGCAAAACTAGATTCATGGCCCATACCCAAACTTTGATTCATTACCCATTTGCCAACCAATTAACTTTGAAATAATGAATAGAGAAGTGAATGCACCTTATTGTTGGTGTATTGATATTTGCAGCTTAGAGAATATGTATCTTTTGGAATTAAATAGAGAAATGGAAAGTGATAGTATTACTGTGTTAATCCTTGGAGATTGTGTAGTGGGATTTTTCTTATGAATTGCTTTGTAACTAAAAAATGTATGAAAAGTTAGAGTTCTAGTCTTCTAGGTAGATTCTCTAGGAAGTAGTAATTGAGCTTGAATCTTCTTTTTAGTCGAGCTTCAATGCTGGTTCCTTTTCTAGCAAAAGGTATGATTATATTATATATGTTGGCCTATTAGTTTGTTCAGTAAGAGTCAATTGAATGGATTGAACTTGTTTCTTTAGTACTTATGCCTAGACAGTGTAACACCATCAACTATATCAGAATTGAGATGTCTCTGAACTATTGGTGTGACTCCTCTTTTGAAGTAAAGTTCTTAGGCGAGATGCTAAAGACTCTAGTATAAAGCTCTGGCGCAGTCTATTACCCCTTTATTCCCTATATCCTTTTCCATATCCTGCCATTTTTAGATACTGCCCTGAGCTTGTAATTGTGCATATTAGCTGGATTTCATTCATCCTATCAATGATATAATAATCTCTCTTGACGATAAACCCCTCAGACCATATTAGCTGGATTTTGTGAAAGGGACAAAATCTTAGTTTTCATGGAACAACCATTTTTGTGAATTCGTTTGTTCTCTTAGTTGTTCAGTTACCCTAGTATTTGTTGTTGTTTGTGGTTACTTTCAAGAAGTCCTATTAATGGTGCAGTATATTGATAGACATTATATTGTGATTATTGTCTTGACTTAATTATGTTTTCTTATAACAGGATGGCCTGAAGCCAATACAAGTTGCTGCTGCAAGAGGTAATCGGGGAGCTGTTGAGATTCTTTTCCCCTTCACTTCTCCTATCCAAACTATTCCAGATTGGAATGTTGATAGAATAATTGAATATATGCAGTCTGAAGGAAACAAAGAACAGGTAGGCCATTCATGTTTCTTTCTTGTTTATTTGATCAACATTCTTGTCAAGTTGTTTCAATAGTGAATGGTCCAGTAAATCTGGTTTGTATTTTGAAAGATGTGCTCAATATTCCCATAGAAGTGGACCTATATCCCAACTGTTATAGATCATGTGTCAACCAAAGATGATTTGATAAATAATCACATTTTTATGTTGTCTAATTGCCAAAGTTGAAGCTGCTATTCATTAATTTTGAGAAGCAAAATTTGCAGGGAGAAGCAGGAAGTTCAAGGAAAGTTGATGTGCCAAATGATCCCAACTTACAGAAGAAAGTTATACCTGAGGTAGTGCCATTACCTTCTTTTTATAATTTGTAATTGATAATGAAAAGCTAAAAATGAGAGAGAGGTTCCTTGAATGAATTAAAAAGATGAGATATTAGCCTATTACAGCAGCAATGCATCAAGGAAGCATTAGCATGTAGCCCTCCATTAGAATACAAGCATCCAAGCCACTGTTAGCTGTGTTATATACCTTTTTTTCTGTTAATTCAGCCGTCTCTTTGCTCAAAGGGACTTTATAGCCCAGTGTACAGTCCCTTAATGTACTTGGGTGRATGTATTCTTGCATAGCTCAAATAAATACAATACAATATAATTCCTCACTTTTTTTACTCTCTTTGCTCTCAAAGTATTTAGTATGACCCACAGTTTCCAAAAATATTATGCACTTGTATAAAAAAAAAAGAAATATGCTTATCCACTATTGGAATGAATGTCATACCATAAACTAGAATGATCTTTCCTTGATGAGCAAATGTTAAAAGCATATTGTAACTCTACATTCATGATAAAGCCCAAATAAGAAAAGAAATATTAATCCTTTTCGTGGTGTCCTTTGACCTTTCTGTTATAATCCTGTAAACTTTTCTTTGCTTTATTGCACATAAGTGAGGGATATATTAGCAACCTTTGTCGTGGTGTCCTTTGACCTTTCTGTTATAATCCTGTAAACTTTTTCTTTGCTTTATTGCACATAAGTAAGGGATATATTAGCAACCTTTGATAATATCTTGATGGTATTTCAATAATTTCCCGTTCTATAAAAAAAAAGATGGTATTTCAATGAAATGTGTTGCATCTGCTATAGAAGAATACTTGTTAGAGAAGGTAGACGATAGGTAGACATTCAGTTGCTTTAAATTGTAATGTGAATTTATACTAATTGTCAACAACTATAAATGTAGAATTTCTGCAAACCACTATAAAAAGAGGCACTGAAGAAAATGCATTTACTATGTTACTATGGTCTCCCTATACGAGGATAACACATAAGATATACATATACCTTGTCCTGGTGAAAAGGTTCCAGCTGAGGGGCACTCAACTTAACTCAACTCAACTTATCCCAACTATTTGGGGTTGACTACATGAATCCTTTCCAGGGCTGTAAATGGATCAGATCAAATTGTTTATCTCATTTTCAACTGTGGTCCTTTGTAGTATTTGATTCAAATCTTATCTACCAGATTAGAATGGATTTGGAAGGTAGACGATAAGTATTACAAGAAATCAGTCACCCCAGAGATTGAGATGGCAAAATTGGATTGAACTTGGACATCAAATTACATTTAATAAGTTAAACTAAAATCAATTAGAACATTATATACTAATCTTAATTCAAGAAAACGAAATGGAGACTGCGCATAATCTTAATTTAGGAAACCAAAATGGAGAGCATGGATTGTTCTGTAGTTCACAGCATTTGGGGCCAAGACTCCTTCAATTGGTGCTACAAGCCAGCCACAGGCACCACCAGAGGTGTGTTTATGGCCTAGGGCAACCAAAAAATTAGAAGCATTAACTACTGGACTCTCTCTCTCTCTCTCTATATATATATATATCTATTCTGGGATGCAGCTCAAAGGCTACTTCCATTGCCTCATATCATGTTTATATTGGCTCAAATGACATTGTTGGCCAGAAGGTTCATCTGGGGAAAGTTTGGTGACATCAGGGCTAGATACCCTCTCCCTTGGTGTGTTGAAGTCTTCAGCACTATCAGATTTACCTTTGAAAGTTAAGGAGACTCAAGAATCACCGCAATGTTATGATTGGTGTTGCCAACTTTGTGAACAAGCATGAGCTGATTGATCTCCCCTTCTCTGGAGCTGAATTCACCTACAAGCAACCAAGAGGACCCAAATTGTAAAGTTGGATCGCTCCCTCATATTAGCTGATTGGGTGGAGCACTTCCCGATAACCCATCAAAAAGCCCTCCCAAGACCCCTAGCTGACCATGTGTCGCTTCTTGTGGGAGGAAATTTCTTCCAAAACCTGAGACCTTTCTGCTTTGAAAACAACTGGCTCGAAGATGATGGTTTCAAAGACAAAATGAGGGAGTGCTGGAATCTTTTGATGTTGTCGGAATTGGTACTCACATCATTGCAAAGAAGCTTCAGCACCCCAAGTATCAAATTACAAGCCGGAAAAGCAATCCAGCACATTCTCAGTCAAGCCTTTCTTGAATTACTTGAACACCCCACTCTCTGTTGACTTCCATCATTGCCTCATCTGGTCCCACCACATCCCATCAAAAGTTGCCTTTCCTATCCTGGACTGTTGCTCTTGGCAAATGCTAACCCGAGATAAGCTCTCCACCAGAGGCACAAATCTTGCCTCTAGTAGTTGTCTTCTGCAATTGTGATCTTGAAATGGCCTACCACCTTTTTTGTTCATTGCCCTTGACAAAAGAATTTTTATATCCTTCCCCTTTTTTATATCAATGAAAGCAACCTTTTCCTAAAAAAAAAGAATTTTTGTCAATTCAATGACAAACTGCAATTGTAACAAATTCTATATCAAAGATCATTTTCTGGGGGTTGATTCACAAGAGTTTTCAGAATGTTTACTTTTATTTTAGACCGCTGATTCCTTTTTGAATTTTTGATCTTTATGTAAGTATTTCAAGGTAGATGTGGGACAGGGTAATAAAGTACAGTTTTGGGAAGACCTTTGAGTAGGGGAAACCCCACTTAAAGACCAATTTCCTGATCTTTGCTCTTTCAAACCTCAAGGGGAAACTTTATCTAATTAGGGAACACCTTATCCAAATGGTGTGAATTGGAACTTGGGTTTTAGAAGGGGATTAAGGGAAAATGAGTGTGAGTCTTTAATTCGATTGCTAGACCTACTACGACAAGTCCACTTGGACCCATCTTTGGAAGACTCTAGAATTTGGGTAGGCTCTACAGATGGTCTCTTCACTTGCTCTTCTTTCTTTAGAGTACTTGCATCCCCCAACCCCCTAATTGGGGATTTCCTTGTGAAAGATATCCGCTGTAAGCCTATTCCCCCAAAAATTCAAGCTCTCTGTTGGGAAATATTCCTTGGCAAGGTAAATACTTGTGATATGCTGCAGAGAAGAAGGCCTTATGCTTGCCTCTCTCTTCATGTGTGCTCTTTGTAAAGGAAAGTGGTGATACCCTATCTCATTTATTAATATCTTGTTCTTTTGTGCATCGAATTTGGGAATTCTTTTGTATTCTATTTGGCTGCAGGTGGGTCCCCCCTCAAGATGTGATAGGACTTTTTAACCGTGACTTCTTAAGACAACCAAAGAAAAGAGGGATGGTAATGTAGAAAGCTAGGAAGGTAGCAATATGCTGGGTGGTGTGGGAAGAAAGGAATAACAGGATATTCTTAGAGAAAAGCAGAACAGTAGAGGAAGTGATAGACACTATCAAGGTGAAAGTAGCTCATTGGCTAAAATCCTTGGACAGCTTTCAAGTCTTCTCAGTCACGGACATTCTAAGAACCTGGACTGAAGTAGCACAGTCCTCGAGAGTGAGACAAAGTAAGGATGGAGTGGAAACCACAGAAGGCAATAAAATCAAACTGAATTTTGATGGGAGCTCCCTTGGAAATCCGGGAATCTCAGGTATAGGAGTAATCAGAAATTCTGAAAGGAGGATATTGGCTGTCTTCTCAGGAACGATTGGCATGGGGAATTTACTAAAGGCTGAACTTTTAGCATTACTACAAGGTTTGGAGTTAGCTAAACAGCTGGGATACAGGCATATTGAGGTGGAAGGGGACCCAAAAGTGGTCATTTCTTGGGCTGCAAACAACGTCGCCCCTTGGACTTTTAAAAATGTGATTAGGGAAGTGGAAAAGATTGCAAAGGAGGTTGAGGCTGAATTGAAATGGGTCCAAGGAGTGCAAATGGGCTAGCTGATTCTCTAGCCAAACAAGGGGCAATGAGACAACAATTGTTTTGGGCTGCACCGTAATGAGGGACAGAAAAGTGTGCTTAAATGGGATCAACATTCCCACCACCAAGTTGTATAAACTGTTTCCAATCCGGACTTTATATAAAATACATGTTTACTGATTTGACAAAAGGTATCTCAAGGTAGTTTTCTCATTTCTTCTGTACAGAATCTCTGTATAGGGGTGAAATTTCCACCCAAGGTTCAAAGTTTTGATATGATATGCCTGCATATCGTATTGTATCTTTTACTGATTGAAAATGCCTATTTTAAGGTATTTTAAGAAAATCTTTCATTTAATAATTAAATAACATAACATTTGGCCTCCCTCTCAAACTTTTGAAAATAAAAACTAAAAAAATGAAAAGTGCAACGTTCAAAGTATTGATACACCCCTTCTGGCGTGTCAGGGCGTATCAATATTTTGAACCTTGTTTCCACCCTCTTCTTTTGTGTCAGTTGCTTTATTATATACTTTACCTTTTTCTCAAAAAAATCAGAACATTATATACTGTTAATAAAACAAACTAAAATAAACTTTGATAGTGTATATCATGAATAAAATCACTTAAAGATAACTCCTATGAGATTTGAATCCTTGACTCTTTAGCAAATATAGAACATTAAACCAACTTTTCTAATAGGTCCATGCTAATTTTGTGTAGAAAAAGTGTGTATATATATATATATATATATATATTATTGGATTGGATTGTAATGGATGAGGTTGCGGTGAACCCATATTTGATCCATTTATAAACAGATAAATTCAAGCCACATTCATGCTGAATTCAGATTCAAATTTGGACAAGAAGAGTCTATTTGTGGCCCTAATCCTATTCCACCATGTTCTCTATCAAGGGCTATTGGGGTTGCTCCTCTATACTCCTGATCTGTTCAATGAACTGGTGAAAGAATTAGCACATCCATGAATGTAGACGAACAAGGAGTTCAATGTTGAACTTGGAAGAACCAATAAAAAATGTTGAACTTAGAAGACATCGGCTTACTTAATCTGATTGCTTAACGTCTAATTGGTGCTCAATATGTCCCACATCCAATGCGTCACGTTATATATCTGCAAAGTTATCTTGTTATTTTCATTTATTCTGTTTCAATTTTGATATGTTTTCAGTAATGTACTCAGGTAAGCCATGAAGCAAAGAAGAAAGCTTTGGAGGCAAAATCAAGAGGGGATGATGCGTTCAAAAGAAAGGATTACCTTATGGCTGTAGATGCTTATACACAGGTATCTTTTCCACCCAATCTGCCCTTAACTTCTGCCTTGAATTGTCTAATAAGTTTTTGGTTCTAATTCCCGCAAACTCTTTTTTGGTGGAGGCTCAGTGGATTATGGAGCAAGGTTATTGTTATTGTTGTTCTTATTTTTATTATTGTGATGGTGATTGTGAAATGTGCAGCATGAGGGAGATGGGACTTCCCCTCTGAGGAGATAATGAAAAAAATCGAATTACCATCAATCCACAAAAGATATAATGCTCAAGTCTTTCTGAATCCTAAAACTCAAGGTCCTTAATTTCCTTAAGCAAACTAGATTGATAAACTAACATATGGTCCAGATCCATCCACGATCTCCTGATCAGTGTTTTAAAAGGTGTACGCTTGGAGGCGTGCCTCCAGGTGGGGCGCCCCCAAAATGCCCTGAGGTGTATGCTAGAGGCGCTGACACCTTTGAGACATACGCCTCATACGCTTTTTTCATGAGGCGTGCTAGAGGCGTATGCCTCATGCGCCTCATGCACACCTCGTGTAAAAAGATAGAAAAGACAAAGAAAAAAGAAAAAAAAAAGGAAAGAAAAGAAAAGGAAGGGAAAGAAAAAGAAAGAAAAGAAAAGGGAAGGGAAAAAAAGATAAGGGGAAAGAAAGTGGGCTGGGGACTAAGTAAGCTTAAAACATTGCTCTTAAGTAGGCTTACGCCTCTTTGTGTTTGGGAGGCTTGCACCTCTTACATTCTGAACTACGCCTCACGCTTCTAGGTTGTGGAACACCTCCCGTCACGCCTCCGCGTTTTAAAACATTGCTCCTGATGAAAGTTTCCAAAGCTTGGAAAGTTCTCTAAGTTTCAACTAGTCATCATCAGAATTAATGTTGTCAAAGTTCCAAACTAGTCATCAATTAGTCAGTTGGATAGTGAGTTGAGGGCTGCACCAACTGCATCACTAATTAGTTGGTTGATACATGTTCAAGTTGACTGGGACAACTATGAGTTGACTGGGTTGACTACAAAAGTTGTAATGCTTAAGTCTTTTTTTTTGTGCTAATTTCTAAGTATTTAAAACATTCTATTACAAATATTTGTGATGGAACAAGGTTGATTGGTGGTATATAGTATATGCACTAGAAACAAGGGATAACCTAAAAGAAGACAATGGAGTTATTTTTTCTTCCAATCATTTGAGTGCTGGTACAGAATTGCTACAAACAAGAAGCTTTACACAGGGGCTATACATTAGCTGCCCTTGCAGCACTATACCCTCATACCCTGCTTTGCAAAAGATCGTCTTGTACTAAAAAGGAGTTGTAGGATGTGTTTTTAAACAATTTGTGTGCCTAACCAAGAAAACATTTTTCCCAAAACCATCTTGAACAATGAATATGCTAAACTGCTCTTATTTTTGAAAGTTCTTGCGTTTCCTTCCTGCCAAATCACCAATAAACTACCGCTGAAGCCACAGTCTAGACCAGTTTCCCTTCATTTCTTAAACCTTCTACCCTCTAGCCCTTCACCAATTGCWTCAATGAACCTGCACAGCAGCTCTTCACTTCAAACAAAATCCAAACTTTGTAAGAAAACTTAGTGTAGCAATAGATGCTCAATTGATTCAGAGTTCCCTTCACACAAAATAGTCTGCTGAATCCAACAGGACCAACACCATACCTTTACGCAAATGGTTGTCTCTTGTAAGGATTCTGTTTAGGTATGCAGTTCATTGAGAACATTCTAGCACCCAAAAATGTTGACAGGGACTGATTGTTCATCTGAACTGGTGAAGGTGTCCTAAAATAATTTCAGTGACATTTCCTGCTCTCTCCCACTGCCATATTCTTCTATGTGGGCTTCCAGCCTCCACTTGAGTGCTTATGACAAATGTAGCGTTTCCACCATAGCCTCCACCTCTCATTCATTTAGGTTTCTTTGGAACTGGGGGAACCACACCACATTCTTGTCATTTTACTGCAAATAATCCACTACTCTAGCCTCTTTATCCATTGCCAACTTGAAAACAGCAGGAAAAACTTCAAACAGGGGCCTTTCCTGCACCAAACATCCTTCCAAAACTTCACATGCATCCCATTTACAATCTTATACTTCACTCCCTTTGCAAAATCATTATATGCTCTTTCAATTCTTTTCCAAACTGAGCACCCATAAGACTGATTGGAAACACTTGGATTCCAATCATTATATGTGCAATCTGTATTAACTTGTTAATATTGCTTCAATATCCTAAATTCAGAACATATTTTATTTGGTTTGACTAGTCAAAACCTAGGCACTGACCAGTCATTTCAGTCAGATACCAAAAAGCCCTCTTCTACAAAGCATTTTTACTGCCATTTGGGCTAAGTAAAGAAAAAAATGAGGGGAAAAGTTCCTGATAAAGCAGAAGTGGGCCTTATACATGTTTCTTGCTAGGTTCAGGTTACAAAAGAAACTACCATGAAACCTATGTTGTTACATAGACCCTTCAATTGGAGATCATCTAAACATAAGCTATTTCATTAAAAGCTTCATATGGTATAGAGAACAAGTATGTGGAATAATTTCTCCAAGGAAATTTCTTTTACCATGGCTTTTGCAATTCTCATTATCAACTTACTATCATGGTTGATAATTGGTTGAAAGATAATCAAATAGTTATTTTGTGATGTAAACTGCAGGCAATTGACCTGGATCCTACAGATGCTACTTTACTATCTAATAGGAGTCTTTGTTGGATTCGTTTGGGACAAGCAGACCATGCTTTAGTGGATGCAAAGGCTTGCAGAGGGTTGAGACCAGATTGGCCGAAAGCCTGCTATAGGGAAGGTGCAGCTTTACGTTTGCTGCAGGTAAGGACACCCATTGCCTTTTACCCTTCACCTCAATTCATTATTTTAGGGTGTTTAAGGTAAATTGTTATTTTTTCTGCTTTTGTTGCAGAGGTTTGATGAAGCTGCCAATGCTTTTTATGAGGGTGTAAAGCTTGATCCTGAAAACAAGGAGCTTGTAAATGCTTTCAGGTAATGATAAACAACAATGCCACCCCACTCCCTCTCTATTCTCTAGGGGTGTCAATGGACCGGTTTTGGGTTGGACTTCGTCCAAATCAAAATCAATTTGGACGGATTGGACGGACCAATAAGACATTGAATTTGGACAGACTGGACAGACCAATATGACATATTGGATTGGACCTGGTCCATCCATAATGAATTTATATTGGATTAAACCAATATCTGGTCCATTGATAGAAGAGATTGGACCAAATCCAGTCCAATTGACACCCCTACTATTCTCCCTTCTTGTGTTCTCCTTTTCTTTCTTTATGTACTAGAGAACCAGATAAGTTAAACTTGTAAAGTTTCTTAAAATTTTTAGTCCTACTCCTACCCATGACCTTAGATTATGTTAACTCATCTTACAAGAGAAAATGCCTGGGAAAATTATCATGGTGGATAGCCATAGTTAGCTAATAGTCCTGAAGTGATGTCTTAGTTTGTGGTGAATACTTTGTTTTTGCTCGGTCTTAATAAATTTTCTGGATTGTGCCCCATCCCCCTCCTCGACACGGATGCAAAAAGAAAAAGAGAGAAAAAAGAAAAAAACCTAAAAAACTATCCTGTCATCCTTGCAATAACTTTTTTGTGTTATGAGGGATGCATTTTGATACTTTTATTTTGTCTCAAGGATGGGGCTGGAAACTTGCATACAAAGATCTTCCAATGGACATCTCTCTCCTTTGATTAATGCATCTTTTGTTATTTTCTTTCAAAATATGTTCCTAGCAACCCCAAGTTGCTTGCTTGTACTTAGAATTATTATTTAAATTAAATTGTCATGGTTGAAGGTTCTAGAGGGCTCTCTGTGCTGATAAACTTTGGGGACAATCACCTAATAGTGTGAAGGGGTTCTTTGAATCTCTCTTTAATACTGATAAGCACAATTGGTAGCACGGAAGCTGATTAGTCACAGGTTATGACATTGTATGACATTTATCAGTCAAACCATAAGAATAATCATTTTTGTTTTTTGGAAACCTACTATTTAGGTTATTAAATTTGTGTATGAACAAGTTTGCAAGTTGTTGCTATTATTGTTGTTGCTGTTGTTATCATCATCATCCTCATCTGGTTGAACCCAACTGATCTTTTTTTTGCCTGTTTGTAATTAGAGAAAATCACCCAACTATTGCTCTCACCAAAATAGACTGGCTTGGTTTCACTGCATTCTTAATTATGAGTGGCTGAATCTTGTATTTGCTGCTATCATTTTGGTTTGGAAGTTTGCTTCAATTGTCTGTTGTCATTCTCATGAAAACTGTCTTAAGCTAATGTGTTTAACATCCAACAAATTACTGGAAGTAGGAAGTTGTCAAGCATAATTCCAGAGGATTTACTTAGGGTTTCTTGCAATTGAGAAGTTAACAAGGTTTGTTTATACAAGTAATGCTGCTTTGAGTCAGTTGTTGCATACAATGTGCTCACTGTACATGCAATAAGTTGGTGAATAATGCAAGCACTCCTGGTTATCAAATTTTCAGTTTTCACAAATATATTCTCRTGTGTGTGTGTGAAAACGGGTTTAATATCCTGTTTATTCGAAATTCTACTACACATGTCCTTAGGGTGACACCTTAGGTGTTGAAAAATTTTGAAGAACTTGAAGTGCTGAGACTGATGTAGAGGGAAAATTTCCACTGGAAAGAGATCTGGTTGTCCCATTTCCCTACCAAAGTTAGTTTTCTGGTGTGGTCTGCTGTGAATGGGAAACGTCTTGCTAAAGTGGATCATTTGGGATTGCAATCTTTGGTGTGCTCAATGTGTGGGCAGGCAGAAGAGTCAGTGGATCATTTGTTCCTGCATTGTGGAGTTGCAGGTCTGCTTTACAGCCACTTCTGTAAGCTTCTTAATGTTAGTTGGTGTCCTCCAAGGAATATCTTCAACCTGCTGAAGGCTTTGTAGCTGTGGGGGCTGCATAAGAGGGGAACTGAAGGGTATTTGAGTCCTAAGGAGTTCTGAATATCATGTGCTGCGTTGGGCTATAGCAACTTTTCATTCTTCTGTCAGCCTTAATGCAGTTCAGGCCTTCAGGGGTCTCCCACATCATCAATTTTTTGAGCCTAGTATTTTACTTGGTTAATTTGTATTCTCTCTCTGGAGTATACTCCCGAGTTTTGTTTTGTGTTGTTTTGGGGGGCCTGGGTTAGCCGACCCTGGAGATGTATTGTTTCTAGCTGTACTTGTTTCTGACAAGGTTTTATACATGTAATTTTGGCTTTGGATAATGGAAGATCAATTCAGTACTTACCTTCAACGGGGCTGGGATCATATTCCCTGACCTCCCGATTTAGAGATAAATCCCAAAAATTGTCCTCCATCCCCAATCCCCCATGGAGGCGCGTACCCGAACCCCCGAAATTTTTTAATTAACAGAATTTCTTGAAAATGAATTTACTTAAAATAAAAGAAAATTTTAAAATATAAATAATGTTTTAAACATATTTTGATATATACTTTGACCCTCCATCTCGATGCGTGTATCTTCTTAGTACCCATGCTTTTGTTGAATTATATTAACAGGGAAGCTGTTGAAGCTGGAAGGAAATATCATGGCACAGACAAGCAAAGCTGAAGGGGAATAGGATGAGATGTGCGAAGTAGAGGAACTGGACCAATCTTGCTTGCCAAACTTCAGGTTGATCAATTTTGTTCTTTATCTGGTGTAGTAGAACTAGTTTTTCTTGTCTTAATGAGATGAATACAAAAATTCGTCAGATGGTTGTAAATAGAAATTAAATTCAAGTTATATACAACGGGTATAACGTTTTTCTGATGTTCAACTGATTATAATTGATGTTAGCTTTTCTGGAGGTGATTTGAAAATTTCAATATTGAATCATTACATACTCATTATTTCTTTATTTTTATTTTGTTCATTAATATTCTGCGCAGCTAAGTGCAATATGGAAATTCTTAATTGTTATGGGAACCTGTGGTTTAGGGTCCCAATTGAGGCTTTAACACAGGATTTGGCTAGGTTGATCTCAACCTTGGCCGACGTGGCCTGGTGGCCATAGTTGTACCGCTAACCATAATCTATCATCTATTCTTATGTCTTTTTTTCTCCAGTCTGCAACAAGTGAATGGCTAGTTCCTGCTCAATTCAAAATTTGTGATTCATACTTGGGAGCAAGGTTCAAAGTATCGTTACGTATCGGCTGATATATATTGTTCCGGGACCCTTCTGATATGCCCTTACAGTGGGTGTATCGGGGTCTGACCGGTTTAGGGGATGGAGGGGTCCTAGACTGACTCTCCTGAATCAGTTTTGAAAAAAAAAAGATAAAAAAAAAGTAAAAAAACAAGTATCAAAACGCCCGATATGCCCCTACCGGCATATTGGGCGTATCCATATTTTGAACCTTGCTTAGGAGGCTGGTTGGTCAATCTAGTTGCCAAAGTTCAGATCAACATTCTTTATGCTTTCAAAACTAACAAATGCCTCAACCAAGTGCTGGCCGTTAGCATAAATTTATTATGTGGAGATCCTAGAAACAGGCAAAGATGCTATTAGGCCCATTTATTGAACCCAAGCTGAAACAACCCCCCCTCCCCCCCCAAAAAATAAACAACAACAACAATTGGGTTAGGTTAGGTTTCAACCTCAGGTTCAGGACTGGTTCAATTCAAGGTCGACCATGACTTCACAAACTCAGGCAGTCAGGCCCAACCCCTTCTTGGGCTTAGATCCATCTTTAATCAGGCTTCGAAGCCCAGGTTAAGAGTAAAATAAGTATTATTTATTTAATGCATATATACTAAGAAAATGATAATTTTATTTATATTATATTACATAGATACTTGCCTTGGTTTTGATGCAGTTTTACCCTTTATTTACACAGTTCATGCTTTCATGGTACATGTCCTTGCACTAGTATAAATAAAATGCACGATATGTGTTTGAATGTATATGCCTTAGTTTTCGTGTAAGTTATAAAGGATCCAAATACCAGGTTAATTCTTATTTGCATACTTACATATCAAAGAATGTGCTCTTATATAGTATAAACATGTAATATTTAACCAACTAATGGTGTTTCAGTTGGAAGGAAAGATGAATCAAGAGATCCTTATTTGCATACATCCTGCTGCCATTGGGGTTGGGGGGTTAAGGGTGGGGATACCCCCATTGTGTAGCCCTATAAATTTACAGAAAAAATGCAATATTTGTATGTGGTATAATATAATGATAATAATGTTATATACAATTAGACTTATTCATGGGTCACATTCCCCTATATGCTTGCATGATCGAATCTTAATTGTATTTGGACAAATTATATAACAAAAATATAAAATAATAATTTTAAATAAATATTTATAATATATATTAATTTATTAAATTACACTATAGGTGGAACTTTTTATGTTCAGAACGGGCTTCAGTTTCAGGTTTGAACTTTTTATGTAATTTATTAAATTACACTAAAGGATGAGTTGGCTGCGATGTCTGATGTGTGAATCAGACTGAACAATTACGAATGAACACGCCAGTGTCTCTTACACGTGAGACCCACATTTACTGCGAACACCAGAAGAAAAAGAATCACAGTTTTTAAGTTGAAAAGACCGGAAAAAGAAGTTGCCAGTTGCCACGCGAAAAATTACTAGGTCGTTTAATTGAATGACCCCGCCTCAATTGCTTGATGATTCTCATAATTTCGAGTTTACGGTTACGGTCTTACGGATGGATAAATGAAGTAAAACCCACTTTGCCGAAATCAATAATTCTGTAAACCTGACTAAAAAAAAAAAAGAAAAGTCTGTAAACCAATTTATAGTTTCTACTTTCCTTCTCCTTGTCCTTGCCATTCGGTTTCGTCCACTGTTCCAGTTTCCAATCAAGAAGACCGGCATCGGCGTTGCGAGGTACATATTCTTCCTCCGGATCGTTTTAGTTCCAATCTTCCTTGCAGTGCCTTTGTAAAGCTTCTGTATACTGTGCTACTCTTCTCCGTGGCGATATTTTTTTCTCAACTTCCTTTTTTCATTGTGTGTTCCCTGTATTTGGCTTGCATTTTGGGTTTGGTTAGTATGTTTTGTAGGGTTCTTCTTCAAGTTTTCTTTTTAGTGTAAAGGGTTTATTATTTTCTCGGTGTTTGAGTGCTTTGCCTAGTTTTTTCTTCTCTGTTTCATTCGCTAATCGCTAGAGGGGTTTATTTGGTTCTGTGCGTGGTCCTTAACTGTTGCATGCATGAGTTTTTGTCCCTCAGTTCACTGGCGGAAAGTGGTCACTTGAAGCTTACATGATTGCAGTGAATAACAAATAACCTATACCGCAAACACCGGAAAAGATACGTATATAGGAGAAAATTGTTAGTCATAACTCATAAGGCTGAGTTTGGAAGGAGTACAAATGCAAATATGTAGAGTGCAAAACCTTATATTTTGTATGTATTTACGCTGTACATATTTGCATTTGTACTCTTTTCAAACTGAGCCAAAGCTACTGTGATATGGGAGAATGGGTTATTGCCTTCTAATAATTGCAAGTTCTCTGTAGAGGCACTTATCAGTTAAAATCGAATGGTTTTTATCTTGGTCGTCTTAGGCCTCGTTCGCGCCTTACCTGGGTAAATGCGATTATCCTGGGCAAGGCAAGTGATTCTTGGGAAACACTTCGGTTAGGACTTAGGAGCATTTACCTGTCTTCTTTCATTCCCCATTTAAGGTGCACAATGACTGATTTATCCAAAACAAAAGTTACATTATTGAAGAATATTGTCCCATCACGTATTATTGATTTTCAGCGCGTGTGGGTAACTAATTTACCCAAGTCTGAGGAGTGTATTACTTTCCAAGGTAAATGAGTCAATCAGGAATTGTTCTTTTCTGTTGGACCCACTAATACCGGAAAATGAATGTGGGTTTATTTCTTTTCCATGGGACCTACCAACTTACCTGCCCTCACTTCCCGGAACAAGGTCTTAGTGGTAAAGCGAAGGAAGGGCCCAAGTCGAGGAGGATACTATTTATAGCATCTTGTGGTGAATGCACATGCTAGTTTGATATAAATGATTTTTCTTTCTGAGTTCTGACTCATATTTTATGCTGTGTTTAGAATGGGCAAGTTTCCTGGTCTTCCTTTGGTTTATTGTTGCAACTATATCTTTTAGAAATTTTCAAATTTCAATTGATTGAGGCTTTCACGTGCAGTTAGATATGTCAATTCCTGTTACAAGCTATCCATCTTTAATTTTGTGTTCCCTTTTATTTTCTAGGATTTTAGGGACTTGAGAATTTTAGTGGTAGTTGTATATTTGGTCAGCAGTTTTTCTCTTGAAATTTCCGAGCAAATGTAGAGATTCAATTTGTAATAGGGACGATTGTGTTGTCATATATAAATAACACTTTGAATGGCACAAAATAGGCCTTGAGGAGGGTAATTAATCTTGATTGTTACAATCACTTGGAGCTGAAGAAACTAGCTTTTGTGTTGGAAACCTAAGACAATCTCCCATGATACCTAGATACTTGTACAATACATGCCTAGCATACCAGTGACACAATTCGTGCCTAGCATGACACTGGATACTGCATGAATATTTCTAGAGTATATTTTATATCATTAACCCTTTGAAACATGTGAGATGGTATTTTTAACAAATTATACTACAAAATATATATTTGCTAGAAGATAAATTAAATTTGGCAAGATATATGTGTTGGGAAATATACTTAGTTTTTCAAAAAATTGATATATAAGCATAATATAGACTGTAATAAGAGGGATACCAATACGTGTATTGTATATTTGTTCAGGGTCTTAGGAAATGGAGAGTCATATCCCCATTTATCCTTTTGATATCTCATCCTTAAGGTACACTGGCTGGCAAGTTTAGTGTTTGGGAAACAGGGATTCCTAGAATAGGGAATTTTCTACTGTTATTTTCGTTTGATAACATAAGGCTTTTGAGAAAATGGTGTGATACAATTTCAGTTACTCTCTCTCTCTCAAAAAAAAAAAAAATAAGATTGCTTTAAAGTGGTGTGATGTGGTTGAGAAAGCAAAATATGAAGTGCAGTGGGATAGTAATGGCATTATTGTTGGGCTTTATTGCGCTACCTTTTCTATTTTCACTATGCTCTTCTTTTTGTCCATGGGAGGTGACCTCAGGGATGTTAATGGTAATATTGCACCTGGTCATTTACTGAATGGCAAGGCCAAGTAAGAATACCTTCTGATTTTTCTTCCTCTTCTCTATCATGCTCTCTTTTTTCATTTCGTTTTTACAATGTATATAAGCAGAAGTAGTTTCTGTGGAAAATGATAGTCCCCCCCCNAAAGTGAGTTTCTTTTTTCTGTTGCTCTGTACTGTCCCTTCTGCCTATTTTGGCAGTTCGGGTCTTGATTTTCAAAATTAATAAAATTCTGTTAATATTTGAAAAATCTAAAGAAATTAGGAAAAACTATTAAAACATGGAATTTGTTACTGAATCTTTATGGATTGTTAGAAGTATAGTAGCACTTTTAAAACTCTAATGACTCAAGCTCGTGTTCTCATGCTGGCCAAAGCCACTTGCCTTTTCCCTTATTATTTGCATTCTCTTTACATACAAGGATCCCAAAACATTTGATTCGCAATCACCTCCTGGTTTGCTAGTTCATCATCCAAGCCATTTGGTGATCTTTGTACCTAAGGCTCAGTTTGGAAAGAGTACAAATACAAATATGTACAGTGCAAATACACATAAAATACAAGGTTTTGCACTCTACATATTTGTGTTTATACTCTTTCCAGACTGAACCTAAGAAATAGTGGTATGAGTTGCTTTCAGAACTTTCTTGTATGTAGCAGCGCATTTTTAATGCTTAAACCCAATACCTTTCATGGGTTGCAAGAATTGTTCTATTTCTGCACCAATAACTTCCCTTCTGTTTGTTATAACAAGCTGGGATTCCCTTGGCGAAATAGATACTACTTGTAGAGGGTGTCTTGCCTACAAACACTGCCAATTTGAATTTCACATAATTCAAAAGTTCTTACTTGGTTTCTCCTTATAAATACTAAAATGTCTAATCTGATACTGCTTCAGTGTCTGCAGTGTAATATAACAATAGTTGTCTCATATATCTTTTATTTTTTGATCAGTGTCTCATATACCTTTTCATTGTCTCATGTTCATGTTCTTAATCCTAGCAATTGGTGTTGAGATGGTATGTTGAAATTGTTGGCTTTGTGCACTCTTTCTCTAGTTTCTACTGTCCAGACAACGTATGCTCCAATGTATGTACAAGTCCAGAAAACTGGGTAATTGTGTTGGGTTGTTGCCACTAGTGGTTAGATGGTTCTGATATTTGATAATACTTCTTGGATGTAGAGATGCTTTTCCTCCAGTTGTCCAGAAGCAAATCATTTTATGTTTAGAAACCAATTGCCTAATTGTTTTTGTTTTTGTAATGATTAACTGGTTTAATGACTTGGCTAATCCTATAAGTTGGGCATAAAGGACTAGTTTTTGGCTATGGATCRGAGGTTGGTGCATTATCTTAACGAGATCAGAGACATCCTCAACTTCTCTCTGATACACTTGCATATTCCTAGTGAGCTATATTTGGTTGCTGATGTTCTATGTGGAAGTGGTACTTCTCCATAGCGACAGCCATATGCCTACCTGGTTTTTGTTTGATGATGGTGCTGCAATTGTATATTTCATTAACATTTCTACATCCTTTTATTTAGATTTTTTTTATTTAAAGCCAATGTGATATGACTGCCTTCTATAAGAAAAAGTATTGGCTAATTTAGACTGTTGGGCGCATGGAATTATCATATTTCAAGGACTTTATGTTGCTTTGGTTCATCTTGAAGGAGTCGTTTTATGGAATGTGTTGGATTAATTCTGTCTGTTTTGGTTTTATGTCACAGATTGTAAGATGTATCTTAAGGCACAGCTTCCGTGGAATGTGATAATACCTCCTGAAAAATTGGATGGAGGTCTGATGCTGCAAAAGTCTATAATGTTATGCTTATTGGAGGAATTTGCAAATAAGAAAGCAACCAAGGATCATGGTTACTTCGTTGCAGTAACTACCCTGGATAGCATAGGTGAAGGGAAGGTTAGATTTGAGTCAGGGAATGTACTTTTYCCTGTTATGTTCAGCTGTGTTACATTCAAGCCATTCAGGGGTGAGGTCTTACAGGGCACTGTAAATAGAATCATGAAGCAAGGGCTCTTCCTGGAATGTGGGCCCATCAGAAACGTATTCCTCTCTGCACATAAACTGCCTGATTATCGTTATGTCCCTGGGGAGAATCCAGTGTTTTTGAGTGATAAGCATTCTAAGATAGAGATGAATTCAGTGGTCCGCTTTATGGTACTTGGAACCAGATGGATCGAGACAGATAAGGAATTCCAAGTGGTGGGTAGCTTGGAGGGTGATTTCCTTGGACCCGTTTGGTAGTCAGATTTTGTTGTGTTTTTCAAGCCCATAGTAACTTCTTAGTCATGGGTGATTGGAATTACATCCTTCAACCTAGCATTTTCTGTATATTCCCTAGTAACTTAGTAACCTTCATTGCAATATATGGTTCTTAACAGAGCGTTTAGTTTCGATCAAATTATGTAAGTTTGGTTAAAACTTGTGCTCCTGCTTCTGATCTTCTGTTGTTAATAATGGTTCTCTAATTTCTTTCTTTGGTATCAGACTGTCAGTTGTTCTACCATAATTGGTCAGAGGACAAACTCAGAGTACCCGTGGGTGGATTATGCAACCATCTGGAATCCTGGGCGAAAATGACTAGTTTGAATGTTTGATCTCTGATTGAATGTAAGTCCATAATGTGTGATCTTAAAATGGAATGACATTGGCGTGAACAGAAGAATGATTCAATTCTTGGGCCCTGTTTGGCAATGTTCCCAGCTGTTCCTGTTCTTTTAGAAATTTCTGTGCTATAACAAAGAATTTTATTTCTTGTTCATTGGGAGTAACAGAGGCGTTTGGCAAAATGTTTTTTGAGAACGCATTTTTGTTCTACAGAAGTAGAAACGGCGTTTGGATAACGAATTCAGATGAAAAGAAACTTCACTCAATTGACATAATAGAAACCCCTCATTTCAAGATATCCAACAAAGTAAAAAAAAATGAACAAACGAATTCAGATGATGAATCTAATCAGAGCAACGACGAGTAAAATAGAGCAATGACGTGTAAACCAGGTACGACAAGGAAGGAATACACCTACCTGTTTACTTGAATCTGGCTGGAAATTTTGTCAGAGCTTTGTACCGTTTGCTCGCCGTCCAGTTGTTGACGCAACAAGAGCCTCCTCCGAGATGTGCAGCAGCAATGAGGTAGTGTCGAATGAATAAAAGGTGGTTGTTTAGGGTTTGTTTCTATCAGTTTGCATGAAATATCAAACATACCCCTTCTCTCACGTGGGAATCGATGGCACGTGTTCGTTAATGTGCATTAATATTGTGAGAATCGCGCATTCTCTGAGAACATGTTCTTTGAGTGTCGATTTATCACTCCCAAAGAACGTATTCTTTGGGTGCTGTTCTCACACGAGAATGGCTTGTTTCTTTCACTTTTTTTTAGTACCAAACACGTTCATGCTCCACAAAAACACCAGGAACAATAGAAACATTCTCACGAAATGTTGCCAAAAAGGGCCTTGCATGCTAGGAAGAATTGAAAGTGGAACTGAAACATTTTGCGTGATGCTCTATGAGAGGCTGGTTCACAATTCAACCCCATATAAACCATGGAGTGGGTATGTAATGATAGTTATCTGCCTGCACTGTGGTGCTCTGTAGAACCAAGTTGAAGGTTTTGACCAGGCCCAGTTTATGAATGAAAAGGAGCTGGTCGGGTCGCAGACAGACCTGGCCCTACCCATTTGCAATTGCAGGCATACAATCCATCACCCATGCATGGAAGCAGCTAAGGCCCAACTGGGTTCCTTGTTTCATCCTCCATTCCCTTACACTCCATCTTTTTTTATTGCTAAATCTTAATCCACACGCCCCACCATGTGAACGCATTATGTCAATCCCAATTCTTTTGCTCTTATATATATATATATATATATATATTTCAAATCAGAAGAAGAAGAGAAGAGTAGGAAGAACCGAAGAAGAAAGTTTGCAGCTTTGTAGCTATAATGTATTAATAGGTTTACAGAAATAATCAGTCCCATGTGAATTGGAAAAGTGAACATGTGATTACTGATTAGTGAATTCATGTGAGGTCCTCCATTTGAAATCGTCAACACTCGGAAGTCAGAAGCTCAATGGGTTACGGTTTAGCCGGTTAAGAAGACGCTCACCGATTCAACCATCCCCGGCTGAGTGGAATCTAAAACACTGTTTCATGTGACTTGACTGGGTTGCATTGTCGGGTCGGTCTGATCCATGAACAACCAGCCCTGGGGATCATGATTATGTTCAGGTGAATCGGGACAGACTCAATGCAGATTTTTGAATTTTATTACAGATTTATAAACATTTAAAATGTACCCCGTCAATACACAACACATGTGATGCCCAGGCCAATACACAACACAATGTACCCCGTCAGTTCCGTACATGTGATGCCCAAATGTCGGTTGGATCTGGGCTATTTTCCCAGTATCGTCCGGAGCCCAGCCCATGCAGGATAGGGTGTAAAGTTCTTTTTTGATGAAAAGGAGCTGTACAGTACAGTGAAGACTGAAGACGTGCCCCATATTCATTTCAAACGCGCCACGTGTACTTTCTACTACCATAAGTGATAAGTCATCGTCGAGCATTTCATCGTACATTTGTGTAGGGTTTGATTAAGATGGTGGCCCCCCCCCCCCTTCTTTTAAGTGTCAGAGCCACTGCCCACGTGTATTTTCCAAGTGGCGAACGAGGTTCGCAAAAAGAGGCCACCACCATGCCACGTGAGTTGCATGAGAGATTTCGACCTTTCGTTAATCAAATTAATGCGGAAGATTTGAACCAACTGAACGGCTATGGGCCGGCTCATGGCCCTTTCCCATGTCGGATTTTAATCTGTTTCAATATCTATATACCAGAAGAACCTTGACCAATCAAAATCCTCCCATGAGCCGTGAATTTTGATGAATACCGTCTGATTGGTGATCACATGCTTCACGGGAATGGACCCCACAAATGGGCAGTGGGCCTCCTGAACGGTGTGATTCGGGCATCTGTGGTCTGTGGCATTAATGGAGGTATAGCCCATGGCTACTTCCGTAAATAATGATAACTCTGAGGATGATGTTATTGTAAGAAAATTTTAATTTAATTAACTTAAAAAAGAAAAATAAAACAAGCCTACGAGGAGAAAAGAGCAGATTAACAGAACAAAAGAGGAAATATAACGAGCTTGAAATGTCTCAGCGGCTTTCCCTCGTTTGGTTTGGGCGCCATTGGTAAACAGGGGAAACCAGAAGCTTTCTAAGCTTTGAAGCTCAGGGTTAGGGTAACAGTAGTTCTTTCTCTGGCTTCGGAGGTTGGGTTAGGTTTAAGGCTTTTTTTATTTGGGGCTAGGGTTTCTTCTTATCAACTCTTTGTTCTGTAGTTCTCTTTTGTGGCCGGCACATTCTAGATTCGGAACCAAATAAAGCTACTCGTAAGGTTTCTCTGTAATGTCGAGGACGTTACAAGCTGGTTACGGCACTGTTCCTTCAGCCGCAGCTTCGACTTCGACCACCTCTGGCTCTGGGATCGAGTTTTTTTCTCGCGCAAAGGAGAGAGGAAAATCGATATACGCCACACGACGCCCATGGAGGGAACTCGCAGATCTATCTGCCTTTGGGCGTCCGTACAGCTATGGCGAAGCGATGGTTCGCATCAGACGTAATATCAGCTATTTCCGCGTGAATTACGCTATTATCGTTTTGCTGATACTGTTTCTGAGTCTTTTGTGGCATCCGGTATCTATGATCGTGTTCTTGATCGTATTTGTTGGCTGGTTCTTCCTTTATTTCTTCCGTGATGAGCCTCTGGTGGTCTTTAACCGGACATTTGATGATCGTGTGGTGCTGGCTATACTGAGTGTGATCACTATTGTTGCATTAATTTTCACTCATGTGTGGTTGAATGTTCTGGTTTCGCTTATAATTGGAGCTGTCATTGTTTTTCTACATGCTACCTTTAGGACTACTGAGGATCAGTTCCTCAACGAACAGGAAGCTGCCGAAGGCGGATTGCTTTCAGTTGTCGGTAGCCAGATGACGACGACTTATTAGCCGTGTTTGAAACTTTGAGATGGCAGGCTTTTCCTTCTGAATTCTGATCGTAGACTGGTTTCATCAATAGGATATTGGGTGAGATTTTATTCATTTTGATTTTGATTTCAAGCAAGTGCTTCTGAGTCTTGTTTGCTCAATCTGCGGTTTGGATTCGTTGCCAATTGTGCTGTAAATGTTTTTTGGTACGGAATGGAGGGAATCTTGTCAGTGCATTTTCTTTAGAGCTGGTAAAAAGTAAAATTAAATTGAATTAAACTTGTATTTCCTCCTTTTATCAGTATTTTTTTTTCTTGCCCTTTGAACTTCGTAGTTGTTGTGGTTGTCTCAATCTTCTTGTAAATGTAGTCAGAATGTGGCAAAATGCTTTAGTCTCTGTTGCATGTACTTTTTATACTTTTTTTTTTTATGTGTGAGTATATGTATTGAATTGTATGCTAAAATATACTAGGGGCTTTTTCGGCTGGTGCAGCAGATACAAGTATAGCTTTTCAACTCATTTGCAAAATCTACAATTAAAAACCCACCTGAAAATAAAAGATAATTCTTTCTCAGTCATTACAAAATTTGATAAAGACCTATCAAATTCAGCCATAATATAGATGCCCAATGAAATATTATACCCTCTGTTTCTCCAATAATTAGCAATCCTCCATTTCTTTTTTCAAAATTCCAATGGAAAATCCTTTATTTCCTTTCTCTCCTTGTGCACTAACAGTTGCAATAGATGGTGCTTTGCTTACTATAACCTCTCACTGGCCACGTATCCACCAGGTTAATCAAATTGCCTTCCAAACAAAACATGTCTATAAAGTGATTCCTATCCTCGTTTCAGGAAGCAGCAATGAATTAGGAAGTGGGCCGGGAACTGGATTCCGGGGAAGCTTCACACAACATTCAGGTGTTTCAAATGTCTTGGCCTCTGGAAATCAAATTTCCTAGTGTCAAAAGTCTTATTGTAGTAGCCTGTCCACATAAAGAAACAAATCTTTGTTGGAATAGGTGGGGCTAAATTCAATGCCATGGAAAAAAGGTATAGTATCACCACCAAATAGAGTAGAAAGGCTTAACTAAGAACAAGCCATCGGAATCCAGGTTCTAAACTGTCCTATTTGCCTGATTCATGTCCAACCTATGCTGTTCTAGCCTTGCAGCAATGATATCAATACATCAGCCTCTCTATCATTGACATTACAATGAAACCATAGGCTGCAAATCACCTCATTAGCAATGATTCGATAGCTTTCATGGGTCACAACCTCCTTATTCAAAGTATGTGAAATAGGACTATAGAGGCATCTTTTCATTTTTCTGGTCTGCAAGTACTTGGGCCATCTTCTCTGCCTCCGCTAACATTGCTGATACCTCTCGTGATCCAAAAGGTTGAATTGTCAACGATGTCTTTTCTGTTTTCAATCCTCACAAATTCTCTACTCCACTTCTTTATACCTTCCTTTATTTTTTCCCTTATTTTAGCAAACTTCACATACCTGTCGTCTCATTTGCAAGGCTTCCCACCACCCCATCTTGTCATAAACCCGGGACTGAAATCGTATCAACTCAAATCTGAATGGCAATGGTACCCCCCTAGATGGTTTTGAATTTGCTAGAATATTGCTGTTAAGCTCCTTTTGTTCCTTCCAGTATGGACCTAAATGCACATTGCAAAGCTATGCTAATTCTACATATTGGTTAACCTAATTGCATGGATTACTTAATTTTGGAATTGTTGAACTTGTTACATCTGTTTGGTTCAATTGGGTCATTACTGTGGTCATTATGGGTCTCTGTCCAAGCTTAATGGATTTTTATAATGAATTCTTCCTGATTTTTTCTTTGCTTACGCATGTCAGCAATGTTAGCGGTACAGATGAAAATTGAATCTAAAGGTCTAGCTGTGTGGACACTTGGCACTCAGCATGATGCTTCTTGTAGCATCTGGATGATGCTTCAAGATCGAGTCAGCAATAAAAACATACATTATTTGACACTTGTAATCAAGATGCAACGTGGACACACAGAGTGAGGAGTCCACAATGTCTCCGGTGCCAAGTGCACACACCTTTGGACACTTGGCATTTCTCCCAATTTCTAAACAACCAAACATGGGGAGGCGTTTCTATATTTTCTGCAATTTTCGGATGTATAGAGATTTTCGGTTCTTGGCTTTTGAGTTGGTGCCAATCAGTTATGATCAGTTTGGAAGGAGTACAAATACAAATACGTAGTGTAAATCCTTATATTTTATATGTATTTGTACTGTACATATCTGTATTTGTACTCTTTCCAAACTGAGCCTTAAGGGTGTATTTTAGGGTGTTAGAAAATGTAGATTAGTAGATGAAATGTGTTGTAGATGTAGAGTGCGCAAAGTTTTGTTGGAAATATTGCAGCCAGGAGTAGGAGGATTTCACTTGTGATTTTTTCTTGAAACATTATTATGCAAAAGCACTACTGTTTGTACCCAATTAAAAGTACTTTTTTGGGGTGGTCAAGGATTGGATCATTTGAGGGAGTACGAAGACTAAAATTTTGTATATTCAGTGCCATTTGCTCGTGCAGGGAGGAAGTTTATTCAAATTTTGGCACCGCAAATTTGGAAAACCCGTGTACACTCTGCATCAATTTTAAAAACCGGCTCAGAGGCCAAACCTTTTCGTCGTGGGTCACAGGGTCAACCGCCTGATTGAATGGGTCAGACTGTGCATTATATATATAAGTACTAGCGGGGACCTGTGCAATGCATGGGATTTGTTAAAAGAAAGTTAAATAATAGAAAACACACCAGAGTATACAATTATTTTATATTTTTAAAATTTTTAAATAATTAATAATTATTTATATTTTATATATTATTTTTAATAAATTTTTATAATAAAAAAATAAAAATTAATTTCAGCTAGGATTGTTTATCAAATTGATGAACCCGACCAACTTGACCCGAGTTGATCGGTTTTTTAGTATTTTCGATCAACTTTGGTTCAACAATTTTTCAATTCGACTAGGTTGGATCAGTTTTACTTTAGCTATTTGTAAATTGATCAAAATGGAACGATTCAATCATAGATATATATTAATGTTTATATTTTTAATAATTTTTTAATACATGAAAGAGGGAAAATTACCACATTTCTTAGTTTAAAATATTTTATGTTATAAATTTAATTTTTAATAATGTCATTGTATTTTTTTAAATTTAAATTTATTTTTTTAGTTTAAATCTTTTGAATTGACTGATCAAACCGAAAATCGACCCAAATCAATACAACCTGGGTTGGCCGATTTTCATTAATGGTTAGTTGGTTTCCGGTGACCAACTCCCCAACTTGACTAGGTCAATTTGGTTGGCCAAAATGCCTAAAACCGTACCAAACCAACCTGTKAACATTCTTAATTTCAGTTAAATTAATAGTCTAATCTTTAATAAATAACAATAGTTTAATCTCCAATAATTATAGAAAATTTATAGCGAAAAAACACAAYTATTGAAAATATATTGATAATAAAAATATAATAAATAACCAACAAAAAATAAATAACTGCAAAATTACAATAAATACTAAAAAATGTATTAAATTARCCAATAAATAGTGTACTATCAAATAATAGTTTAATCTCTAATAAATATTAGCCAATAAATTATAACAAACATACAATAAGTACAATAAATTAAGTTTTAAAAGTTAAATAACAATAGTTTAATCTCTTATAATTATTAATTTTTTTTAAATAACAAAACAAAAATAAATTTATACATAATTGTTGAAAATGTATTGTTTAGTATATATAAATATATAATAAATATAGGGGGTGATGAGAAAATTTAAGTGGCTAACATTCAATTCAAAAGTTAGAGTTTAGTGGGAAAGGAGATCAGCTAATGGGATGGCAGATCTTCTTGCTAAGCAAGGGTGCATAGGGATCAATTATTCTAGGCTTAGTTGTAATTCTGCTTTGTTTCCTAAGGCAGCATCTCATACCTCTTTGTGGGATCTCTATTATGTAGTTTTTGTTGGCTCATATTAATCATTCTTAAAAATTCACTTTATTACTTATCAAAAAATAATTATATAATAAATATGTATTAAGATTTTGAAATTATTATTAATAAATATTATTTTTAAAGTTATTTTCTAGAATTATTAATTGATATAAGTGAATTAGTTACATATTTGCATTATTAATTTTGTAAAATATTAAATTATTGTTAATTTGAATATTATGTTGCAATTATTTTTCTACTTTTAAGATGTTTTTAAATTTATTTCATAGTTTCGTTACTTTAATTGTTTAAAACCTAGTTATGTTTAATATTTCATTATTTAAAATATTAAGTTATTTATATATAAATAATATATAAAATATTTCAAAATTTTCATGATTTGAATTTTATTTATTTTAAAGTTATTATATAATATTAAATATTTTGTTATATAATTATTTTTCTATTTTATTTATTTTTATTGTTAAATTTTTATTATTTGAATTATATTTAAATTGAACAATCCAAAAATCATGATCTATATTGTTAGTACATAATTTCATGATGAATTTTGTAAAAATATAAAATTATTAATAATATAAATATTATTAAATATATTATAGTTATTTTTCGTGTTTTTAACAAATATTTTAAGTTTATTATATAATTTTGTTAGAATATTTAAATTTTTTAATTCAGACTTTTTAGATAGATATAGATAAAAAGTGGGGGAGAGGATAAATAAGAATAAGAGATAATTTAGAAGAGAACTCTCTACTAAATTAGAGACAATTTAGGAGAAAGTAGGGAATAGTGGGGAGGTAGTTTGGGAGAAATTTTAGGAAATGATATTATTTAGGTTATTGGGAACGTAGGGGGGGGAGGAGATTTTAGGTATTTTTTTATGGGGAAGGAGGACATCTCATTGGTTGTATAAAAAATGACATGGAATAAGAAAATAAAGAATTAAAAAAACTCACCTTGAGTTTTCAACATTTCTCTTAAACTCACCACACCTTTTCAAAATATGTAAAACTCACCATGTCAGTAAGTTTTTATTTTCCAAAACTCACCTTTCGTTAGTGCACTATTAATGCTTCTTAACAGAGGTGTCCATGTCAGCATAAATAACAATTTTCATGACCAAATTACCCTTGAATGGTGAGTTAGAGGAAAAATGGTCTTTTTCAGTTTTCAAT